GCGCCACGTGCGTGCGCGAGGACGCCGCGTGCGTGTATGCACGCGCCGCATGCGTGCGCGAGGACGCCGCCGGCCTCGTTCCAACCGAACCGGTTGGAACGGGGCGAGAAACCCACCCCTGGTATGTATGTATGTATGTATTGTGTCACATCTCTTGAAATAGATCTATACTGGTCTCCCTTTATTTATTTATCAGCACAAATGCAACACACACACACACACACACTAAAACTGCACTTTATTTATTTGGTTGATGAATGAAATATTGTTTGCCCTTGAATCAGGATTGAATTAGCAATTAAAATTACCAATGACACTGGTGTGGTATCTAATTACAGTCCAACAGCTTTTAGTTGGAAACACACACACTAGTTGAAATCACCCAAACAGCAGTGGAACAAAATATCTAATTAACAAAGTGGTTCTGGGAAACTGCAGAGGAGGAGAAAAACCAACCTGAATGTAGCCTGCATAAGAAGGCATTTGACTCCCTGCCATGTGATTGGGCAATAGAAATAACAAGTGGTCAGTAGAAACCTCAGAAGCTTTGTGTAAAGATCTTTGGCACAATGGAAAATGACCAAAGGTGATGGATTAGGAAAAGTTTACTATAAAAAAGGAATCTTTCAAGGAGCCTTACTAACACCACTACTCTTTGTCATTGCACTGATTCCTCTGTTGACCATAGTGAATAAATCAGGGCATTGCTATTGGACATCAAAAACCCTTACTAAATTATCCACCTCAATTTACAACCATTTATTTAGTGACCTTTCAAAATTACAGAGATGTTGAAAAAAGTGATTTACTGGTCCTTGCACTTACAACCAACATAGCATCCCCATAGTGACATGATCAGAATTTGAGTGTTTAGCAACCAGCATGTATTTACAACAGTTGCAACATCCTGGAGTCTTTGGATCAGTGATTCCAGTAAGCGAAGTCAATGAAGGAAGCTGGATTCACTTCATGACCACATTATTCACTTAACAACTGCAGTGATTTGCTTAACAACAGGAATGGAAAAGGCCATAAATTGGGTAGGGCTCACTTAATAGCCGCCTTGTTTAACAACAGAAATTCTGGTCCCAATTGTGCCTGTAGGATGAGGACAGTCTGTCATGGGTTACCTGAAACTGTATGGAAAAACACCACTTGAAATAGAATTGCTGCTCAACTCTGTGAAGTATAGTACTGCTTTATAAAGCTTTAGAAAGGCCACACCTGGAATGCTGTATCCAGTTTTGATCACCACATTACAAAAATTGAATTGAATTGAATTTATTGCATTTATATGCCGCCCTTTTCCCCAAAGGGGACTCAGGGCAGCTCACAATCCAAGTCAGGGAAGGGGGTACAGATAAGGGATAAAAAAGACAAACAGAACAATACACAATTTAAAAGCACNCTTTCTTTTTTTGCCCTCAGTCTTTCCCAGCATTAGGCTCTTCTCCAGTGAATCCTTCTTTCTCATTAGGTGGCCAAAGTATTTGAGTTTCATCTTCAGGATCTGGTCTTCTAAAGGGCAGTCAGGGTTGATCTCCTCTAGGACTGACCGGTTTGATTGCCTTGCAGTCCAAGGGACTCGCAGGAGTTTTCTCCAGCACCATAGTTCAAAGGCATCAATTCTTTGGTGCTCAGCCTCTCTTATGGTCCAACTTTCACAGCCATACATTGCAACTGGGAAAACCATAGCCTTGACTATACGAACTTTTGTTGGCAGAGTGATGTCTCTGCTTTTTAGTATGCTGTCTAGATTTGCTATAGCTTTCCTCCCCAGGAGCAAGCATCTTTTAATTTCTTGGCTGCAATCCCCATCTGCGGTGATCTTGGAAGCCAGGAAATAAAACCTGTCACCACCTCCATTTCTTCCCCATCTATTTGCCAGGAATTGAGAGGTCCAGATGCCATGATTAAGTTTTCTTAATGTTTAGTTTCAAGCCAATTTTTGCACTCTCCTTTACCCACATCAAAAGGCTCTTTAGTTCCTCTTCACTTTCTGCTATTATAGTGGTATCATCTGCATATCTGAGGTTGTTGATATTTCTCCCAGCAACTTTAATTCCAACTTTTGATTCTTTTAATTCCAACTTTTGATTTTTGAAATGTAATAGCATAAAATAGAATAATTAAAAGATGCAAAGAACTCAAAACAAACTAGGCCAGGTTTCTTACTTTTAAAAAAAATTCTTTTTGAGATTAAATGACAGCAGAGCAACAGTAGCAAAGCTGACTGCTAAGAGTTAGAAACATTTTGCAAGAATATAATTCAATAATTCAAGGTCCCAGCCCTTGAATTGATCTACCATAAATAATTTGGCCCTAATCCCATTGCGAATGGGGCACTGCTGAACATAGTAAATGATGTCCTCCATTGGACCAAGGGATCAAGATGCTGTTAAACAGGATGCTTGCGAGACCTCCCTTCAAGACACAATGAAGATATGGCTGAAGGGTTGGTAGTATTTTCCAGATAAATAGTATCAGGAGTAATTAACATAGCCCTATTTTGAGAAGTTCCTGCTTTGTTCATCAGGGTCTCAATCCTATGAAGAGATGAATGGATCCTTATGTCCCACTGCAAGCAAACTGTTTTACCTCCATACCAACACGAGCAATGAAGAGGGTGAGTATAAAAACTCCTGGATTCTCTAGGAAGGAAGTTAGTTGTAGGAACTTAGAAGAAGAAACTTCAAGGACTACTTTCATAGAATGTGAGAATGGATTGCTAACAAACAAGCCAATGTCCGATTTGTGATAACGGTTGAAGCATTAAGGAAACCAAGGTCGTCAGCTATGAAAAGTTGCTAGATGATTTTAAGGCAATTATTCACTCTCAACCCAACCTATCTCACAGAGTTGTTTTTCTCTGGAGAGGAAGTGCTCTGCATGCCCTCTTGAACCCTTGAATAAGAGGCAAGATAAAAATCCAATAAACAAAACAGTTATTTTTCATCTTCAAAATAATTTAAAGTTACTTCCAGTAGATGCTTGAACAAAACTCAGGAACTGTTCTTCTGCATTTTAAGGACAAGCAGCAGAAAAGGAGAAACGTTTTTCAAAGCCATAGTGATTTTTTTTTCTCAAGAGGAGCTTTTTTTGCATTTAAAATTGTGTGGCAGATGGAGGAAAATCTTCTGCTTGGCAAATGCAATAAAACCAACAGCTGCTGTAGTGAGCATTGAGGGTTTATTGATCTACGAACACAGGATATTTTATTTGAAGAGCAGAAAACATTTGCATGCAAACAAGCACATTTATCAAACTAATTGCACACGTATGTCATCTTTCTGGTTTCCTTATTTAGGAATAATAGCTGATGTAGGCGTTGTGGGGGAAACAGTCTTGTCCTTGACCCAACATACTTATTTTAGAGTTGCTTCCTTCCATAGGAACTTGGCCAAGACAGCAAATATGGAACAAAGAGGCTTGTTTCCAATTTCTATATAGTCTATGTTTGTTATCGCTGATTCTCTTTTCCCTGACAGAACTTTTATTTTACAATAGTTTCTAGCTTACAGCTAGTCCTTGACTTACAACCACATTTGAGCCCAAAATTCCTGTAGCTAAGCAAGACGGTTGCTGAATGAGTTTTGCCCCATTTTACAAACTTTCTTACCACAGTTGTTAAGTGAAACATTGCAGTTGTTAAGTTAGTAACATGGTTATTAAGTGAATCTGGCTTCCCCATTGACTCTGTTTCTCAGAAGGTCACGAAGGGTGATCCCATGACCCCAGGACATTGCATAAATGTCCATCATAAATACATGGCAGCTGCCAAGCATCCACATTTTGATTACAAAACTAGGGGGATGCTGCCATGGTTGTAACAATGGTGGGCTCCTACCAGTTCGGACCGGTTTGGCCAAAGCAGTAGTGGTATGGTGGCCTGGGTCACTGGAACCAACGGCCTGGGTCGCTGGAACCAGGCCTGACATGCCCCCAAACTGGTTCCCTCATTGCCGCCGTTGCCACCGCCATCTTGTTTTTTAGTTCTGCGCATGCACAGAACAATTTTAATTGAACTACACATTCGCGCGAGCACTTTACGCACGACCGAGTGAACTGGTAGTAAAGCCGGGCAGAACCCACTCCTGGGTTGTAAGTGTGAAAAACGGTCATAAAACACTTTTTTTCGGTGTCATTATAACTTCAAATGGTCACTAAACAAATGTAAGTCAATCTTCCTAGCATGGCTGACTTCCTGTCTGTTCTCCACAGCTGCCCCCCTCTTCCTATAGCAGCACATCGAGTACAAAAAGAGGCTGAGTATTGGGACAACATTTCCACCTCGAAATGGGCCAAGAACCAAATTCAACAAGTTTTAAAGCAGTCAAGTATTTTACCGAGATACCATTGTACTTGGAAAGCCCAGTATAGTATTAAAGACAGGACAGAAAAAAAAATGGCTAACTCTGAACCACTTGGATATCTCCAACTCTCCCCAGTTCCGGAAATCTTATTGTCATAAACTGGGATTGGGAATTCAATTAATCTATAACAAGTTTTCTCACTGCAGATGCCGACTCCTATGAAAATATGGAAAGCCCCACGAGTCTCAACTCACGGAGAGATGGCATCTTGGATCCACATGGAGACAGTAAGTTGTCAGGAGAGGGGAATTTATGGAGCAGGAAATGTTTCCATAGGGATGCTGCCTGTTCAAACTTGTTGTGGAAGTCCTGGAGTTAGAAATTTATCATTTGCCAGGGAAATAAATCATGTGGGTCTAGTAGTTATTTCTCTCTCTCTCTCTCTCTCTCTCTTTTTTTTTTGCTAATTAAAGAAAATATTCCGATTAATGAATTCAATGTTTTATATTATGTTTAAATGCTGCAGATCCCGTAGTGTGCAAGAAAGTCAAGGGTATATGTTACTTTCCCCAGCATTACCTTTCCAATCTTCATTTCTTCCACAGATTCTCCCTCTGGCTCCAGGTGGCAGCACATCTCTGTTCCTTTTGGAGGTGATCTTAGAGGTGGGCTGCTATGCTCAGACTAGTATTGCCACAGCGCGAGAACAAGCTGGGATCCTTTCCTTCTCTTAATTAAAAATATTTCTACCCAGAATTCTACTCTGTTGTCCCAAGAGATGAGGAATGTTGAATGTGTTAGATGTCAGCTCTTTTATAAGAGAAGAAAACCCTGGTAGATTAGACTTGTGTCTAGCAGTTGGAGCAGTGAAGAACGGTAGAAGTTTTTAAGGAGATGTGGGTAGAAACTTGCTTTTTTCAATTGCTCAGAGACTCTGAAAATGTTTCTTTTGTTTCACAATTACAAACTTTTTTTTAAAGCAGTTTATGGGTCTGATGAATCAACAATTGGCAAATATTACTCAGAGAATCCAGCTCTGGAATAATGAAGCCGCTTGCTGATTTATTAATTCTTATGATAAACATGAAAACACCTTCTTCATTTAAGACTGTGTTGATTGGTGCACATGACAATCACAAAACCACCCTTCATTTTCAGATACTGAAACAGCATTTCAAGCAAGAAGCATACAATTGCAAATGCTTTTTCAACAAAAGGATCAGTACATACTTTGCTAAATAATTGTTTTAACTGGAAAAAATATTCAACTATGTTGATGGGCCTATACTTGCAAAGATCAGAACTGTGCAAACCTTAATATCCTCTGGGTATTATAGGAAAGCGAAAGTTGGACTTTAAAAAAAAGCAGGCCAGAAAGGGGAGTGATCCTTTTGGGATGCTTGTGTGAAGAAGCCTCCTGAGAATAATGTGGCTAGCCAGGAAAATAAACAAATGAGTCATTGAATGAATCAATCCAGAAGTCTCACTTAACCTAGAAATGACCAGACTCAAATTATCCTAATTTGGAGACACTATGTGAAGATCTGATTCTCTTGAAGAAGGCTGTAATGTTGGAAAGGTGGAAAGAAACAGAAGAAGAGGATGACCAGGATTAATGTGGATGGATTGAAAGTGGTGATGGGATTATCAATGGAAGACTGAAGGACTGGATTGGGGCAGATCTTCATACTGGGTTCTAAGTGGAACCAACTTGCTGGCATGTAATCAAATCAATTTTTAAACGGCAGGGAGGGATTTTGAAGAAGTTACTGTCATTGGACATGCATGTGTCAAGAAAAACAAAAAGTGGGGGAGGACAAAGGGGAAGTACATATTATGCCCAGTAAAAAAAAAAGGGGGGGGGGTTCTATAAATAGATGTGTTTCTGTGTAACTATGAAGAAAGGACACATTAGTCTAGCTGAGATATTCTATTCAGCCATAATTTAATGAAGATCTACAATAATAATGCTAAGATATAAATGATAGCTAGGTCCATACAGTATGTTATAATAGATCAACATCAAACCTATTCCATTATTACTTAGTACAGTGTAAGGCCCATGGTTTATCTACCTCCTGGGTATATAAAAAGGATCTAATTGCACTGTTAACAAACTGGGGAAACTTGTCCCAGCATATTATTGTTCTTATTTCTCTTGCTGTCATATGTTTTATCAGGTACTATATCCCATAAAATAAAATATTCTCTATTAGATTGTCTTCTGCTTCTCATCACCTTCTGATCTCAACAAGCTCTCTTTTAATTTTTATTTGAATTTGGGTCAGATAACTGTAATCTTAGGCAGAAATGAAGACATCTTTCTTGAAAACATTCCAACAGCTGTTGCCGGTGCTACATACAGGTAGTCCTCAATTTACAACAATTTATTTAGTGACCGGTTACAGCAGTACTGAAAAATGTGATTTACGACTGTTTTTCACATATGCAACCATTGTAGCATCCCTAAGGGCATGTAAACAAAATTTTGACACTTGGCAACAGGCCTATTTTTATGATGGCTGGGAATCATGATTATTTTTTGTGAACTTCTGACAAGCAAAGTCAATGGATAAGCCAAATTCTCTTAACAACCATAGTGATTCACTTAAAAATGGTAGCAAGAAAGGTTGTAAAATGGGACAAAACTCATTTAACAGCTGTCTTGTAGTCTTATACAACTGAAATTAAACAGAAGGAGCAGTGATCTGACATGAGGGAAAGACTGCTGCATATCGACATATTTTCTGATGTATTTGGGATTTATGGTCCTGATACAACTTGGGATCTCTAAATTATCAAAATGCAAACACAGGTTGTCCTTGACATACATCTACACTTGGAATTAGGATGTTTATTGCTAAGCAATGAATAATTAAGTTTACGACCTTTTTGCCATGGTTCTTGAATGAATCATTGCAGTTATTAAGCGAAGCTCCCATTGACTTTGCTTTCAGAAGCCAGCTGAGGAAATTGTAAATAGCGATCACATGACCCTGGTACAACCGTTGTAAATACATGCCTTTTACCAAGTGCCTATATTTTGATCGCATGATGCTGGAGATGCTGCAATGATCATAAATGCCAAAATCAGTCATATGCCCCCTTTTCAATGCCATTGTAATTTCAATCAGTTGCTAAATGAATGGCTGCAAGTCACTGAGCAGTATGATGTTTCTATAAAACCTGGATTTTGCTCAAACTTCAATTCTATCAGAATAAACTTTGGGATGTTGGAAGAAATGTCCATCTGGGTTCAGTTCCAAGTGGGGAAAAAGACACTGGAGACATGGAGGCTGCTTGGAAAGATGGTTTCAATGGTGGTCAGGATCACATGGCTTGAGCTCCTGAACAGAAAAGGGGGATCACATGCTTCCAGATGTTGGGTGAAAAAGAAAAAGGGCAGAGATGCTGAAAGTTCCTGGTTTTATGCCCTCTCTGGGCTTTGATCTTGAGCTTGTATTCTGATTGGTTGTCAGACTCCCATGGGGCCATGCAGGGGTAACTCTGTAGGCTGTGCTTTGAGTCCAAGTTTGGTTGAGCATTGCTTCTTCCCAGGTGCCATGTGGTGAGATCGGTAGAGAGCTAATCCTACCTCAGTTATGTAGAGTAGACTGCCTCAGGCCTTAATGGCTCATTGGCAAAAGTGGGAGTGGGGGACTGAGTTTCTTCCTCCCTTTTAGGGGGAAATATTCTGCCCTTTTAATATTTCCCAAAATGTTTCATGTTCTAGTAGAAGGGTGAGTATTTACCTCCTGTAGGGAAATAGGACAAGACTCAAAAAAGTACTTTAAAAAATTTTATATCTCATTTTAGCTTTCATGTCATCTGAGTCAGCGTTCACCAGTCTTTCCAGGTTGGCGGCCTGGCACAAGGGAAGAGGGGGTGAAGAGGGGATGGTTTTGTGTGAGGGCAGGTCCATGCATGTGCCTGCGCACACAGCTTCATTTGTATGAGCAGTGAGTGTGCACTCTTATTTATTGATTTATTTATTTAGTAAATTTATAGGCCGCCCAACCCCGAAGGACTCCTGCTGCTCACACGAGTGGGGCTGGGAGTGCTGGTGCTTGCTGCTCACGCAAGAGGGGCTGCACGCATGCACACTGGCCCAACATTCACGTAGCCCAGTTGAGAATAGGCCACAGCCCAGTAGTGGGCCACAGCAGCCCAGATTGGGGACCCCTGATCCAAGTTGCACAGTACATTACAACCTCTGAAACAATGAGGCCCCAAAGGAGGAATTTAATTTAACATTGATTGCAGGAAAATACAGAAGGCCAGGCAAAATAGATAAGGAAGTCCTGAGAACAAAAATAACTTAGGGAGGAGCATGTAGGAGAGCCGGTGGGAAATATTATGACTGTGCTGCAGAAAACTTTTAGAGGCAGAACTGCCGAAAGTTAAATTGTAAATTACGCAAGGAAGCAGGAGAGCAGATATAACAAGAACAGCTATCATGTGTTTGAAGATAAGACCGGTGCAGAACATGTGTAAAAAGACAGGGGGGAAAACCAGGTCTCTTCCTCTGCTCCATAACACATTTACACAATGATCCTTTAAAAGATCTGTATGCCATTCAGATAGTCTCTATTCAACAATTATATCTCATCCTATTTTTAACTCAGGGCGGGCTTCTTTCTCCCTTATTTGCATAAAGATGAAAGATATATTTATTTACAAGATGTGCGTGCATGTATGTATGTATATGTATGCATGTATATATATGTATGTGTGTGTGTGAGTATATGTGTATATATATGTATGTATATGTGTATATATATGTGTGTGTGTATGTATGTATATGTGTGTGTGTATGTATGTATGTATGTATGTATGTATGTATGTATGTATGTATGTATGTATATGTATATATGTAATTAGTGTCACAACCCCTGGTATGCCCAAATATGGGAGGAAGCTTACTGCTTCCATTCTCTGTCTATCGGCTCGTCACAAGAGAGCATCCAGACAGAAACCCAATATTTTTACTGTTGCCTTTGTTACATTTGTGTTGTATTTATTTATTTATCAGCACAAATACAACATATATGTATATGTGTGTGTGTATGTATGTATGTATGTATGTATGTATGTATGTATGTATGTATGTATGTATGTACGTACGTACGTACATATATGTTGTATTTGTGCTGATAAA